TAAGAATGATACTCTTTAATTTTTTGATTGAATGGAAACCCGTCTATCATCTCCTTATATGAAATTATTTGCAATCTCCTTCTCATTTCTCAACATAACCACCATATCACATGAAAAAAGACCAACTTCAATTTTCTTATGAAGTTCAGCTCTTACAATCTGTAGATAATATATGATCACAGAAATCAGAAAGGAAGGGAACCTTGTAAGAGTAAAAATCACAGAGACTAGAGAGTGCATTATTAGTTATTCTTGAAGAACAGAGATAATAAGCATTTTGCACGACCTTTAATATATATTTTCCTTGAATTTACTCTTACATATAAATAATACATATATTTAGGGAAGCAAGTGCCTCTGAAATGTAGAACTTTGATTTGTCCTTGGATAGATACCATAAGGCTCCAACAATTTCCACAAGAATTACTGAAAAAGTGTTTCCTGAGTATAAACTTTGACTAATGGGGAGAAAGGGAAAACAAGATATAAGTAAAGAATAAATAAATTTTGACTGTGGTAATATACGATGTTTAGAAATTAACTGTTCAAGCAAGAACTTTACATTAAAAAAAAAAAAGGTAAGATGTCAACAGAGTATGGTAATAATGTATAAAGAATTAAGTCCAAAGCTAAAAAGGGGGGGAAAAAACATGTGGCCACACTAGACTTCAGAAATCATAACATGTAGAACTAATTCTTTAATTTTCCTTTCTTTTCTTTTTTATGAAATTTTTTAGGCTCTAACTCTTCAAGGCTTGTTTAAATCCCCCATTCCTCCATTTCTAATTAATGTTTTAATATAAGGATGCCCATCAAGAATTTAGTTATATGCTTAAACAGCTAGTATCACCTAGTCATTCCCTTCAAACTCAACCCTCTTATCCCCTCCGCCCTCTCTCTGGCTCTGCCTATATTTCTTTCATCTTGACTGAGAATGATGAAGGACTCTGAAGATAAAGTGACTCATCTAGTACGGCTGAACAGAGCTAAAACTCTTAGCATTGCACTGGTAAAATGAAACAGAAAGCAAGCAAAGTGGATCAACGCAGAACAAATTCAAAACTTCATTGGTAAATTCATAACTTCATTATATGCTAATTACAATGCATTATCTGAAAAACGGTTGGAAGCCCAAGCTGAGTGCCTTAGCTCTCTTAACAGGGAAATGAGGTCGCCTAACCAGGACCTCTTCTGCCTTAGCTCTCTTAATCAAGGAAATGAGGTCGCCTAACCAGGACCTCTTCTGCCTTAGCTCTCTTAATCAAGGAAATGAGGTCGCCTAACCAGGACCTCTTCTGCCTTAGCTCTCTTAATCAAGGAAATGAGGTCGCCTAACCAGGACCTCTTCTGCCTTAGACATGCCTTTGTGCCTTTAACTTCACTGAAATGGCTTACACCTAGGCCTAAAGAAATATATAAGTTGCATCTATCCCTTATTTATCAACCCCTAAAACCTGCTCTGGTATAACCAAAATGATAAAGCACATTTTCCTCGACGTTCGGAATTCGGATAGCACTCGAAAGCTCCATTTTGCCTTCTAGATAATAGTAGAGGCAGCAAAAGTTAGGGGAAAGTAAATCATCACACCTCTAGGGCACCGACGACTGTGCGGCAATTGGGTTGCTTCTGAGAACCAAAGAAACGAGTCCCAATATATTCAACTGCCACCAAATAGCGTTGAATCCTGGGGTTTTGGCTCATGGATGGATCGTGAATTGCAGGCTTCTGCTCCTCCTCTTCGTCGCTAAAATCCTCCGTTTTGGCAATCTTAGAGGGCCTATCAGCAGATTCCAAGCCAGTTTCCAGCGTATGCTTGGGATTCTCTGTCATTTGAGGATCCTAAGCTCTCAACTCTCATCAACCAAACCAGAATTGCAACAGTGGACTCTAACTTCTCCGTTTGTGTAGCTTCTCTAAACAGCCGGAGGAGGTTCAGCGGCCCTAGAGAGTGTTAAGCGGTGTCTGATTGTTAAAAAGAAATGTTTAAAAGTATTTTCACGGTAAAACTCGTTTCATTTGCGTATTTCATATATTATAAAATTACATTTAAAATAATAATTTATTTCCACTGAAACCCTCTTAAGTCAAAGAAATGAGTTTTACAACACTAAAGTTAATCTATCTTCAATTTTATTTAATTACATGTCTCATTGCCACACAAAAAATGACATGTCTCATTTATTTTTAAAATTTATATTTTTATTCAATTTTTTTGCCAGTATTTTTGCCAGAATATTTTGATTCAATTTTAACCCTAAACAAAAATAAATAAATTTGTTGAAGATTCTAAAATAAATTTTATTAATTAAATTTCTGTAACAAAAATGCACATTTGAATATCCTCTAAATTGTATACGAAGTTTTAGTTTAATTCTTTAATTTTATAAATTATTTTTAAGTCATATTTTTGCCAACATATTTTTAAGTCATTTAATTTTCACATTGTTAATAATTTTAATGACAATTTATTTTAAAAATTTAACTTCATATATTAATATCTGACGTATAGAAATTTAATATGTCAATTTTTTCTTTCAATGAAACTATCTCGGGAAAAAGTGCAAGTTGGAATCAGACAAAACTGTTTTTAGAAGCATATTGGCTGCTTTGGCCAGTTATGAATGAATTTCCTTTCTTTATCCCAAAAAAATAAGTATCACAGTCAGACAACCAAAGACTAATGGAGTTAAATACTACCTCCAACACTAATTATAAGAGCTAGTTGACTAATTTGAGAAGATTAAGAAAAAAATTAAGTTAGTTATTTTTAATAATTAATTACTACCTCTGGTCCTTAATATAAGACCCTGTTTGACTTTTATTTTGGTTCTAAATATAAAACTCCAATCCACTTTGTCTCTCATATTTATATTTTTTTTTCAAAATAGCCCTTCTAATAATAATAGTTCTAATCAATATACTTGATTAGTAAGGATATTTTAGGAAAGACAACACCTGTTTAGGATAAATAACTAACTCAACTTACTTCCTTAATCTCCTCAAATTAGTCAACTGGCTCTTATAATTAGGACTGGAGGGAGTATTTGTAATACATAAGTGTTGTTTTTTCCCGAAATATTCTTGTTAATCAAGTGTATTAACTAGAACTATTATTGTTAGAATGACTACTTTAAAAAAAATACATAATAAATATGAAAGACCAAGTGGATTGAGGTCTTATATTTAAGATTAAAATAAAAATTAAACAAGATCTTATGTTAAGGACCAGAGTTAATATGTATTTTTCCCAACTTATCTTAAAAAAAAAAAACAAAACGTGTACTTTACCCTTATAATTTAAAATTCCATCTCGGGTTAATATAATTTTTTGTCCCTTTAGTTTGCCCTCATTTTGATTTTAGTATCTTAAATTTCAAACCATATGTTTTGGTCCCTCTAGGGGCAAAATGGTGCAAGTTTTTATTGGGTTTTAGGTACTATTACCTTCGGTCCTAATTATAAGACCCAATTGACTAATTTGAAGAGATTAAAGAAAAAAATTAAGTTAGTTATTTGTAATAAATAAGTGTTGTCTTTCCTAAAATATCCTTACTAATCAACTATATTGTCTAGAACTACAATTATTAAAAAAACTATCTTGAAAAAAATGCATAAATATGAGAGATAAAATAGATTGGGTTCTTATATTTAGGACCAAAATTAAAGTTAAACAGGGTCTTATATTAAAGACCGGAGGTAGTAATATTTTAAATAAAGAGAAATTTGAGGGACCAAAACCTATGGTTTAAAATTGGAGGGATTAAAACCAAATTGAAGGCAAATTTGAGAGACCAAAATTTATATTAACCCTTCCATATTTTTATTTCAAAGCTAAGTTAGACCCTGGAGGGAACGAAAATGCAGAAATTACACAGATCATATAAAAATTGATGCTTGGGGTTACAAAGGAATTGCATATAAATTGCTAAGAAACTACTTCTTCCGGTCCTAATTATAAGAGCTAGTTGACTAATTTGAGGAGATTAAGAAAATAAGTTAAGTTAGTTATTTGTAATAAATAGATATTATCTTTCCTAAAATATCTTTGCTAATCAAGTATGTTGGCTAAAATTACAATTATTAAAAGGACTATCTTGAAAAAAATTTATATTTAGAACCAAAATAAAATTTAAATGAGATATTATATTAAAGGCCGGAGGTAGTATGTAAAAATTTATTGCTAGTAATGGCAAAAAAATGAAAAAAGAAATTTATTGCCATTAGTTTTAAGATTGAGATGCACATTTGTGGACCAACCCGCCTACTTGTCCAAATGTAACTGGCTCATGTTAGCATTTTGCCAACCTGTCAGCCATGCACTCCAGCTTTTTTTTTTTTAAATGAATATTTGATTTTGATTATACTTAAAAACAAACATTTTTTATTAGAAGCAACCATTTCTTGTTATTACAATTTTATACTAGACCTTATAGTAATTGTCTCAAATTCAAAAAATACTTAGATCAAATTTTTCAACAACATATGATCATATCTTATTAAAAAAATTGATATACTACCTCCGATCCTAATTATAAGAGCCAGTTAACTAATTTGAAGAGATTAAAGAAGTAAGTTGAATTAGTCATTTGTCCTAAATAGGTATAATCTTTCTTAAAATATCCTTGCTAATCAAGTGTATTGACTAGAACTATCATTGTTAGAATGGCTACTTTGAGAAAAAATGTATAAATATGAGAGATAAAATGGATTGGGGTCTTATATTTTGAATCAAAATAAAAGTCAAACAGGGTTTTATATTAAAGACCGGAGGTAGTAATAAATATAAAAATCTTAATATAATATTCTGATTTAAATTCTTATCTACAGTCCTTATCCACAATTTTCTCAATGAGTTTTCAACTCCTAAATCACAATCTTTTTAGTAGGACCCCCCATGTGCATATAAGTTGGAAACATTGGATATCAAATCTGATTAATTTCAGATCTGATTCAATTTTGTCCATCCACTTGGATTTGGAGGGGGATGTTAAAACATTTTAAAAAATAAAAGTTAACAAATATAAGTATAATATATAAATTTCAAACACTTAAGAAACCCTGGCATGTTAAATGAGTAGTTAGAAATTCAAAAAGAAACCCCCCCCCAATCCCTTGTATTTCAAAACACATCACCTTAATTGAAACTTAAAAAAAAAAAAAAAAGGAACAAAAAGAAGACATCACTTTAGCTTAAAGAAATATCAGTTTGCCCTAAGATCCTAATGTCTTTAAAATGGAAATTATTAGGCATTACGCTAGTAGAAATAATAGTTCAATTTCTTTTTTTAATTATAATCAAATCAATCATAATTAAAGTAATAAGAGAACACTATTTTATAAGTATATGTACTTTTCTTCGATTTATAATTTAGTACTCACATTTTTCTTTCTTTATTAAATTATTTAATTTTCTTTTATCAGTACAATTAGCCCGTAAATGTTAAGGGAGCATAATTACAGGGCTAACTTTACTAACAAAATAAAATTAAATGATTTAATAAACAAAAAGATATGGTTGGTGAAAAATATAGGCATTTCCAAAATAATTTTCCAAAGTAACATACTTTCCTTCTTTCTTTCTTTCTTTCTTTCTTTTTTCTTTTTTTGTTTTGCCATCCGCAGTAACATACTCTCAATCTAATAAACAAAATCTTTTTATAAAATAAAAATAATATAAGTCAATTTTCTTGATAAGCAAAAACTCATATCACTAATTATTTTATTTCCCTCGGGTGAATTCTCCTAACCAGCACGCTTTCGCACATGTCTATGCCGACTCACCCTCATCCCAACAACACAAAAGCAACAAATCAATTCTCGAAGGGTTTCCTATCTTAAAGGTCAACACTTGAAATATTATGAAGTCAACGTCTCATTTCACATTAGACAGCCACTCAATGTCTGATTCAATACTCAACAAAAACAAGCACAAAAGCTTGAACGAATGGTAATTGCCATTGGTAAGGGCACCATATTTCACATCACACAAACTCTGAACTTTTCACTCTTAATTCATTAATGCTGGGTTTAAAATAAAAGTAATTGTATACTCATTCACAAACTGCACGACTTATAACATTGAGAATTAAAGATAGGGCACGGAGTTCATTCAAAAAAGGAAGGGGGGGGGGGGGAAAAAGAAGACATTGTGATGTTCCAGTTTCTTAGGATTGGTTTGGTTTTTGGTACCAAAACGTCACTTTGTGATCAACTTACATTACAAATACTCTCTTGCATTCACAAACAACTCACTGTAATGGCCTATTGCACAAATTTTTGTACATATAGTTTTGGAAATTCTCATATTGAGATATTGAGCATGTCTGAAATCAAATTCTCCATCATCAGCGAAACGACCTCAGCAGAGCAGCTCATCTTCAGATCCCTCTCACCTGCAAAAACCAGCATGCAAAGCAAGGTATTAAACATTACCATCATTCAAGGCTCATATATCATCTTTATCACTACTTCATTCTTTTCAAACTCAAGACCTTACTTGATGAGAACAAGTTCTAAACCTGTTGGTTCAAGTGATGGTTTATTCTTTTAAGATTTATATTTATATTTTGTCTTTACCCTCATCAATTCTACTTTTAGACCCAAAACAAGCACCAGAATCACAAATCTATTTCACTTGTATCCTTTTCAAGTCTAATTCTATTCAAGGACTTTTTCCTATTCTTAATCACGCTTGATCTCAACAACACTGAGCAGCAAAGATGAAACGCACCGTAGAAAGATGGTGGGTGATGTTTCTCATGGTTGTCAGGTAGCTTGAGAGGGCATGAGGAAAGTGGGAGCACAGGGAGATTGTGACAATTGCATATTTCTATCATGTACCCATCTGGATCATGGAAGAAGAGCTGATCAACTGTAACTCCACCATCTTCCACA